CTAACTTTTGTATTTATGTATTTTATTTTGTGCCTGTTCACCGCCCTGAGTCCTTCGGGAGTAGGGCGGTATATAAATTTAATAAAACAAACAAAACAAAACAAACAAAACAAAAAAAAATCTCTTTGGCGAATAAACAAAACAAACTACGTAGCTAACTTCAAAAGCCGCTACAAAATCTTATGCCAACAAATAAAGATTGAATGCACCAATTATCACATCAAGCAAGAAGAAAACCTTATAAACGCAAAATCCATCCATGCCTTCTATAATTTTGTAAACAAGAAACTTAAAGATTCGAGATACATTCCACCCCTAAAAGGACCAAACAATGAAGATTGTATTGATGAAACCATTAAAGTCAATCTCTTTAAGACGTTCTTCAGCTCAGTCTTTGTAAACAGCAACAACACATATCCAATTTTTTCCAGTCATACTACAGACAATTACAATGATTACGGTGATCTTATACATATTGATTTTACAGAAGACAATGTTGAAAAGACACTACGCAATTTAAAACCATCTCTATCTATTCAACCTGATAGACTACGTGCATACTTCTTAAAAAAGCTTTCCACTGCAATTGCAGAACCAATAAGCATAATTTTTGAAAAATCTTTCAGTATCAGCACCTTGCCCTACCAATGGTCACAGCCAGGGTCATCCCTATCTTCAAAAAGGGAGACTCTAGCCTAGTTGAAAATTACAGACCAATCTCTTTATGTTGCATCACCTGCAAAGTCATGGAATCAATCATTAACCAATCTATTACCCTACACCTAGAGACAAACAACCTACTTTCTAACAAACAATTCGGTTTCAGAAAAAAATTATCCTGTAATCTACAACTACTACATTGCAAAAACATATGGATTACACATCTTGATCAGGGCAAAACAATAGATGCAGTTTACATAGACTTCTGTAAAGCTTTTAATTCAGTGGTATATGACAAATTACTTCTAAAACTAAAATCCTATGGTATTTCTGGACTCCTACATAAATAGATAGCTGCCTTCCTGTCAAACAGACAACTAGTGGTCAAAATAGGAAGTGCTCTATCAAATCCTGTACATGTTAATAGCGGTGTTCCCCAAGGCAGTGTCTTAGGTCCAACACTCTTCATACTTCACATAAATGATCTTTGTGATCATATTAAAAGCAACTGTGTTCTCTTCGCTGATGATGTTAAACTATTCAACACCACTGACAATGCAAATACCCTTCAAAAAGACCTTGACTATGTGTCAGATTGGTCTAACAAGTGGCAACTTCAAATATCAAGCAACAAATACTCTGTCTTGCACATTGGCAAAAAAAAATCAAAACATAAAATACAAATTAGATGGACATGACCTTGTAGATGACCATCACTCTGTCAAGGACCTTGGAGTATTCATTTCTAAAGATCCGAGCCCACTGTAACAACATTGCCAAAAAGTCATTAAGAATTGTTAACCTAATCTTGTGTAGCTTCTTCTCTGGTAATGTTGTACTACTAACTAGAGCATACAAAACATTTGGTAGACCAATTCTTGAATACAGCTCATCTGCCTGGAACCCCCACTGCATATCAGACATAAATATAATCGAGAGAGTCCAGAGATATTTTACAAGAAGAGTCCTCCATTCCTCTAACCGCAATAAAATACCTTATGCCACCAGACTTCAAATTTTGGGCTTAGACAACTTAGAACTACTCCGACTTCAGTCTGACCTAAGCATAGTACATAAAATTATCTGCCACAATGTACTTCCTGTCAATGACTACGTCAGTTTGAACCTCAGCAATACACGAGCAAATAATGGATACAAACTCAAGGTAAACCGTTCCAAACTCAATTGCAGAAAATATGACTTCAGTAAGACAGTGATCAATGCCTGGAATGCACTACCTGACTCTGTAGTTTCTTCCCCAAACCCCCAAAACTTTAACCTTAAACTGTCTACTGTTGACCTCACCCCATTCCTAACAGGTCTGTAAGGGGCGTGCATAAGTGCACCAGCGTGCCTACTGTCCCTGTCCTAATATTCCTTTTTACTTACTCTTTTCATGTATTCAAATTATGTTTATACTTTTACCTGTTATCTTATATATGCTTGACAAATAAACTTATGATTATGATTATGACTATTGAAGGAACTGGCAGACATAATTTCAGAACCATTGAAACATATCTTTCAAAGTTCTTGGATCAGCGGCGAAAAACCTGGGGACTGGAAAAGAGCTGGTGTGGCCCCTATCTTCCAAAAAGGAAAAAAGAAAAACAGATTCAGGAAATTTGAGACCAATCAGCCTGACATCAAAACTTGGGAAGATCTTGGAAAAGATAATCAAGCAATAAATCAAACAACCTAGAAGCAAACAGGGTTATAACCAGAAGCCAATATGGGTTCATTGAAAACAGATCATGCCAAATAAATCTTATTTCATTCTTCAACAAAGTGACCAAATTAGTAGATGAGCTAAATGCTGTGAACATAGTACACTTAGATTTTTTTTTTTAATTTGATTTATATGCCGCCCTTCTCCAGAGACTCAGGGCGGCTTACAATGCGTTAAGCAATAGCCTTCATACTTCTGTATATTTATACAAAGTCAGCTTATTGCCCTCACAAACTGGGTCCTCAATTTACCTACCTTAGAAAAGATGGAAGGCTGAGTCAACCTTGAGCCTGGTGAGATTCAAACTTACAGTAATTGCAGACAGCTGGTGTTAATCACAATGCTATTAGTCTGCTGAGCCACCAGGCCCTAATTTCAGAAAAGCATTTGATAAACTCAATCACAACCTACTTCTTGGCAAGCTAATAAAATGTGGGATGGATAGCACTACCACTAGGTGGGTTTAGAACTGACTGACAAACTGTACTCAACATGTAGTCCTCAACAGAACTACATCCACGTGGAGGGAAGTAACCAGTGGGGTACCCCAAGGTTCCAGTACTCTTCAATATCTTCATAAATGATATAGATGATTTTCCAAAGCACAAAGGACATCATAGAGAAAGGATTTAAGGAGATTTTGAAAAAAAATGGAAAATACTATACAAGGGATGATGAGTAAAGATGAAGACGCCCAGAAAAGCTAGCAGAGGAAATGGAGGAAAAGATTGAACCAAAGAACCAGCGAACAAAAGAAGAAGACAAGGAGGAGATAATAATAAAAATAACAGTGATTGGTGAATTAAATCAGGGGGAAATATTTTAAGAGAGTTGAAAAGTGAATTGGAGAAAGGGAGATAGGGGCCTGGGTAGATATTTTGGAAACTAGGCAGTGGAAGAAGGTAGAAATGTGAGAAATACTTAGACTGAATAGCCAAGAAGTAGATACAAACAGAGATAAAGATCCAAGAGAGGAATATGGGAGGCAAGTCAAAAAAAGCATAGCAACCAAAGTATTGAAGCGGACAAGAGACGATGGATAGAAAGGAAAGAATTTCTCTTTTTTGTTGTTGTTCTGATTTGCTTTTCTTTTTTCTTTCCCTTCTTTTTTAGAACCGTGGCACGATTAGATGTTAGGCAGGATAGAAAGAAAATGTCTTTTAATAAAAGGGTGACAAGTTAGAATAGAGATAGAAATAAGAGAAAGGGGGAATATTAGTGTATACATTTTTACATAATAAAATAAAAGCAATAACAAGAGGGAAGCTTAGAAATTGAATAGCAGTATTAATATGTATGATTAAATAATATGAGTGGCGTTAGAGCAATATATTAAAACATGGAATAAATAAATAATGATAGACTATAATTTAATACAAATGTGAATTATTATTAGAAATATATAAGTTGGTTGAATGTAATAACTATGATCAATTTTACCAGTTCCATTTGTATTAGAATGCATGACACCCAGGTGCCACACAGTTCATGCATTGATATATATATGTAAAATAAAATATAAAGTTCGAAACAAAAAAAAAAAGATCCAAAAAGATCTTGACAGATTTAAATACCGGGCCTTATCTAACAAAATGAAATTCAACATTGATAAAAGTAAGATATTTCACTTAGGCAAGAAAAACCAACTGCATAAGTACTGACTAGGTGAAACATGGCTTAATCCCAGTAACTATGAGAGGGATCTTGGAGTCCTAGAGGACAATAATTTAAACATGAGTCAACAATGTGTGGCAACAGCAAAATACCAATGCGATCCTAGGCTGCATTAACAGAGGGATAGAATCAAGATCAAGTGAAATTGTAGTACCACTTTACAAAGCCTTAATAGAACCACACTTGGAATACTGCATCCAGTTCTGGTCACCACAATATAAAAAAGATGTTGAGACTCTGGAAAGAGTGTAGAGAAGAACGACACACATGATTAGGGAACTGTAGGCTAGAACATACAAAGAACAGCTACAGGAATTGGGTATGTCTAGCCTAATGAAAAGGAGGATTAGGAGTGACATAATCACACTGTTCCAATATTTGAGGGACTTCTACAAAGATGAGGGGGTCAAACCACTTTCCAAGAAACAATGGATGGAAACTAATCAAGGAGAGAAGCAATCTAGAACTAAGGAGAAAGTTCCTGACAGTGAGAGCAATCAACCAATAGAATAGTTGCCTTCAGAAATTGTGGAGCCTTTTAAGAAGTAACTAGAGACAGCCATTTCTCTCAAATGGTATAGGGCCTCCTGCTTAAGCAGGGGGTGGTCTAGAAGATCTCTGAGGTCCCTTCGAACTCTATTATTCTGTGTTCTAACATAGTCAACCTTCCTATAGTAAACATTTCAGAGATGCATAAAGGCAACTGCTTCTTATAAACTATTTGATGGAAATATGAGAGAAAGTCAGCTTTCTAAAGTAAAATTAAATGGTCAAAATACAGTTTTACAGCTTTATTTTACCTGCATTTCATCTTCTATGCCAAGTGTTAAAATCTGTTTATAGCTTGATACAGTTGCAGCAACCAAAGTACTGAAAAACTGAATAAAAGCACTGGATACAAAACCAACTCTTCCTTGGAAGACATCTTTGAATTTACCTGATTTAGGATATGTGATTATAAATGTATCATCATCTCGGATTTCAAAACTTTCCAGTGAATCTATTTTTTCAGGTGAGGACACCACTGGTAGAAAATAACATCCTTTGTGTAGATATGGTTCCTTCCTTGATGGCTCCATTGCTTCACCTGTTGATATAATAGAGAAATTGAAAATAGTTCCTGTATTGATAGTCAATGTTGAATTAATTCAATTCTTTCAAAATCCTGATTCTTGGCAACATGAAGAAAAACACATTCAATTATTTTATCTAATTATTTAGTTAATTAGTGTCACGAGCTCAATTTTCACCCACAAAGGTTTCCATTGCAAAGAGTAAATTTGCTACTCTTCTTGCCATCTAAAAGTTCTATGTAGAAGACAAAGTTTGAATCACAGTACTTAGAACGTACTAGTTGCAATTCTTTTCTTATCTTACTTTGAGTACTATGTACTCTTATATAATGTCTGGCAGGCAGTCATATCATGCCTAAAGGTCAACTTTATTTACAGTATTTTTTCAATGTTTTTCTGTTCCTGATCGTCAAATATTTAAGGAAGACTGGTCTTTAGTCAAACATTGTATCAGCACTGAATCAGCATTTTTAAAAAAGAGCTAAAGAACATGGTAGAACATGATTAAGTAATAACCTAAATAACAAGAATGGCAGAGATGGAGGTAAACTTCTCTATTTTACTAAGAAAAGCATTTCTTGAAAACCATGATAGATGACAGAGGTCTATATCCATGATGGCACATGTGCCCGAGGTTGCATGCAGAGCCATCTTTCCCGGCATGCAAGCTGTCACCCAACTCACCTGCAGCAGCACATGCGCACATGTCCCAGCTGGTGTTTCGGCCTCCGGTGCACATGCGTGCAATTCAGGGGACCTAGCTGGTCTTCGGGGCGCTCCTATGCATGTGTGCACATTTGCACATGCGCACGAGAGTACTGGCACACAGTGCCTTCATGCATACATGGTGAAAACCGTGCACATGCGCAGATGGTGTGATTGGGCATGTAGCACACGGGGGACCTTGCGCGCATGGTCAGATGGTGTGATTGCACACGCAGCGTCCAGTGATGGAGCTGCATAAGGGGAGGAGCCACATGTTAGCACAGATAGCACATGCACATGCAAAGCACGCGAAGTACATAGCTGTTTGGCACTTGGTGCCACTACTGGTCTACGTCTAAGAGGCCCATCTTGGGATGACCATGGGATATAGAAAATTTCCGGGAATTGGATGTGAGCTTCATTTAGTGGTTTGATAGTCTCTCCTGCAAGCTCTCACAAGAGGGGCTGTTGTCGTTTCCCTAGTTCTGCAAATTTCCCTGGAAATTGGCTGGGTTGTCTTTCTCCTTTTTTCGGTGCTTTGGAAGGGCATTCCTTGACCATGTGCCCAGGTTCTCCACAATAAAAGCAGAGAGCCAAATTTCTGGATCTCTACCTATCTTCTGTGGCTGGGAATTACATAGGCTCTTCTCTTCCCTGATCGATGCAAGGGGGCCAAGAATTAGGGATGGAAGCAAAGGCAGTTTGAGATTATTTGATTGATTGCAATCCAGTCATTTAGACCATGCCTGAATTGAGCTAATCGGAATGGCTGATTCCAACCTAAGTCTTCTGCAACCAATCTGAATTCTTCAATCTAGATCTTTACTCTCCGACTGTCTTGCTGAAATTCTTGAATTCTGTGTGTGGTTGTGTCTTCTTGTGTATGAACTCTGAAGTGTTCTCTGAAGTTTGCAATAAAAACGTTGATAGTGATATGTGCTTGGTTGTTACATTCAGTCATAGGAAGTGCCCATCCAGCTGCTGAAGTTCTGAAGACTGGAGCAGAAAGGACACTTATGATCAGTCTATGGGAAACTTTGCTGGGTGAAGGGTAAAGGGTTCAAGGCTCCTCTCAAAAAGTCTTTCTGCATCTTCCCACCCTGGCCGTACCTCCTGCTTTGAGAGAGTAACTTCGTGGTAAGAGCCCATTCTATCTTCCAAGAGGCTCCTTGATTCCCTCCTTCCCCTAACAAATGTATGGAGAGAAAAGGCTCTTTCATCCCTGCTAATTTCCTGGATGAAAAGGTCAAAAAGGAAAAAGTGAAATAAACTTCCATGACACCATGTTCTGATTGTATAATATGAGGCAAATGATAAGAGGAATCAATCTTTCCACCCTTTCTTAGTAATCTCACAAGAGATAACAAAGTAAACAGTGGTGAAAGAAATAAATACAGGGTGGTGGGGGTTTTTTGGGTTTTTTTTTTTTAAAGCATTTTCAGCAGGTTGATTTATTAATTGCTGGGTTTATCCTTGCCTCAAAACTTAAAAGATTCTAGGTCATTTACCGATCTTAATATCAAATGAATAATAAAGTAAAAATTAAAAAATGCTAAATAAAAGAATAATAAATAACAACAAATTGCCAGACTATTAAATCTGACCTTAGTGAGGATGACGCCATTCAATCCCCAAAGGTTTTGTGAGCGACACCAAGAGTACTTGACATATGCCTAGCTCCCTCCTGTTTATTTTATGTTTGAACCTGTCTGGCAAACAGAGAAGCTACATTCACAGCTGGGTTTCCCAACTTCAGAATAACAGAGTGGGAAGGAACCTTGGGGGTCTTCTAAACCAATCCCCTGCTCAAGCAGGAGACCCCATACCCGTGATGGCAAACGTGTGCCAGCTGTCGCCCATTGCTCTTCCGGGTTCCAACCGGCCAGCGGGTCTTTGTGGGTGCATGCACGCCAGAAACCAGAAAACCAGGTGACCGGCATGCATGCGCCTGCCAGATACTGGAAGAACTGCTCTTCCGGTTTCCAGCACTCACCCCTGCATTTATGCACGCTCCTGTTTCAGCACTTGGTGCCGAAAAGGTTTACCAACACTGCCCTATACCATTTTAGACAAGGGGTTGTCCAATCTTTTCTTAAAAACCTCTACTGTTGGAGCACTCACAACTTCCTGAGGCAAGCTGTTCCACTAATTAATTGTTCTAAATGTCAGGAAATTTATCCTTAGTTCTATGTTGCTTCTCTCCTTGATTACTTTCCACCCATTGCTTCTTGTCCTGACCTCAGATGCTTTGGAGAATAGCTTGACCCCCCTCTTTTTTGTAGAAGCCCCTGAGATATTGGAACACTGCTATCATGTCACCCCCTAGGCCTTCTTTTCATTAAGCTAGACATACCCAATTCCTGCAACCATTCTTCAAATCCTCCAGTCCCCTAATCATCTTTGTTGCTCTTCTCTGCACTTTTTCTAGAGTCTCAACATCTTTTTTATATTGCGGTGACCAAAACTGGATGCAATATTCCAAATGTGGTGTGGCCTACCAAGGCATTATAAAGTGATATTAAGACTTGTGTACTTGATTTTATCCTTCTAGTAATGCAGCCTGGAATTGTGTTGGCTTTTTTGACAGCTGCAGCACACTGCTGGGTCATATTTAAGTTATTGCCCACTAGGATTCCAAGATCCCTCTTGCAGTTATTACTGTTGAGCCAGGTACCATTCTATTCTATACCTGTGCATTTGATTTTTCTTTCCTAAATGTAAAACCTTACTTTTCTCTATGTTGAATTTCATTTTGTTAGATAGGACCCAGTGTTCAAGTCTGTCAAGAGCCTTCCGTAGCTTGAGCCTGTATCTTTTGGAATATTGGCTATTCCTGCCAGCTTGTCTAAATCAATGATGAAGATATTGAAGACTACTGGGCCTAAGACAGACTCTTGGGGTACCCCACTGCATACTTCCCTCCATGTAGATGGAGTTCCATTAAGGACTACATCTGGAGTGTGGTTGATCAGCCAGTTATAAATCTATCTGGTGGTGATGCTGTCTAATCTACATTTTTCTATCTTATCAAGTAGTAGTTTGTGGTCAACTTTATCAAATGCCTTACTGAAGTCCAAATAAATTATATCCACAGCATTTCACTAATCCACTAACTGTCACTTTGTCAAAGAATGCAATAAGATTTGTCCAACATGATCGACTTTTGACAAACCCATGTTGGCTTCTGGTTATGACTTTGTTTGATTTAGGTACTTGCTGATTTGTTACTTGATTATCTTTTCCAGAATCTTTCCAGATATTGAAATCAGGCTGATAGGTCTGTAATTTCCTGGATCCATTTTTTTTATTTTTTGAAGATGGGAACGACATCAGCTCTTTTCTGGTCATCTGGTACTTCCCCGGTGCTCCACGCTTTTCAGAGTTGCCAAGTTTAAGAAATACTCCATGTTAGCAAATTAATAGTTATTGATTTTAATAATATTTGGAATGTTTTTTATAATCTTAAGAATATATTCAATACTAAGAAAATGCTTTTAATTTTATTGAATATAATCGGAGAAAGGATTGACTGTCAACTTCATTTTGCTAGAAATGTAAAATGAAAGCAAAGGTATTTTCTAATTTTATATAGACTTGTAGCCATAGATTTTGGAGGGGCATACTGTGTATTGTGCAATTGAATGAGGAAATATATATTTCAGTCTATTTAAGCAATAATTATGTGGTGCAATAGCACTTAGACTTATATACTGTTTCATAGTGCTTTACTGCACTCTCTAAATAGTTTATAGCATCAGGATAGTGCCCCCAACAATCTATGTCCTCTTTTTATCACTCTCAGAAAGATGGAAGCATGAGTCAACCTTGAGCTGGTCAGAATTAAACTCCTGGCAGTGAGCAGAGTTAGCCTGAAATACTGCATTCTAACCATTGCACCCCCACAATGCACTCCCCCCCCACCCAGGGTTCCTGCCACAGTCTTTGATTGAACTGCATTACTTGATTTGCATAGATACTGATAACTGTTTGGATATCACCAAGGTCTGTAATAGTTTTCTGCAGATACAACCAAATTCTAAATATTGGGTTAATAATTGTAAAGTTTTAGGAATGTTGTAAATTCTATTTACTTTTATTTATTTATTATTTTTTTTAAAAGTTTTTTATTTATAATACAAATTAAAAACAATGGACATAGCGTGACATCTCCAGTTTAAACATTTTCATCAAATTTTGTCATATAATTAATACACTTCCTTATCTCTATACAAATTTACACTAATTATCACATTTCAAATACGTATATTCTTTCACCCATACCGATTATTTCGATATCTAATTCAGTTGTATCTATCATAACAAATTAGCATAAAAACTTCCAAGCACTTTACTCGTCAATGGTCCTATATCCGAGCGATTCTCCTCCTTTCCAGCCAATAATTTGTTCCAGATTTCAGAATATTCTGATTCATTCTTATTCAGTTAGTCAATTGCTAACTTATTCAAGTAGATGCTGGCAAATATTTAACTATAACCCCAAAATTCATTACTTCAGATAAAAATGATTGCACAAACATTTTGACTGCCCTAGTCAATTAGAGATCACAAGGTTATGGCAAACCATTTCCATGTTGTTGCCAGCTTCATGGATGTAACTTGAGGCAGCCTTCACCAGTGCTGGTCTGTTTGTGTGTTCAGTATCAGAGATTTTATTAGTATCAGAGATTTTATACTAGTCAGGGGATGTCGTATTTTGCTTTTTCAAAAGTGTTTTACAGCATTACCATCTGGAAAAAGAAATGACAACACCCCTAGAAAGTACTTGAGAACTATTCTCCTATTACACATGCATCATACTTGAGCAAGATATGAAAGTGTTGTATGTGATGGAATGTGCACCTGGAGGAGCAGTGGGGGAGAATTTTGATAACACACAGCTTTCCGAGAGTGTTGTGGTCCGCCAGCAGCCTGCGGAGCTGGCAGTGGAGTCAGACACCGATGAGGCTGAGAAATAACATGGGCCAGTCATGGAGGCTGGGGAAGGCCCGGATGAGGGCTCTGCGTCAAAGGCAGAGATGGGGCCAGGGCCATCAGGAAGTGATGCACAGACTTCGGAGCCTCCAGAGGCTGACAGTAGAGAGGTAGAGGAACAGGAGGAGCCTGTTCCTAGTGCACATATGAGAAGAGCTGCCAGAAGGCAGGAGCAGATAAAGTAGAGAGGACAACTCGGGAGTAGGGAAAAGAGATGATTGGCCCCTCCCATAAAGCTTAAAATACCATCAACGGCTCTTGGTCTCTTTGCCGGAAAACAACGTTGATAAACTTGGTTCTTATCTTGCTTGGCGTCCTCTGCTTCTGAACTCTTGCCAAGAGAAGCCTTTGGCAGTTTGCCTAATTATCTCAAGGTCAGGTGATAAACTGTGGAATGGTGTTTTGAAGAATTTGCTTTAATTTAGTTTGGACTACGCTGAGAATGAGTTAATTCTCAGTGTTCTAATAAAATCTGTTTGTTTTCCAACTGTTTGTATTTAATACTAACTACTTGGGCCTGGGTCACAACACAGAGGGAGGCATGAATTAAAAGACTATGCAGTCCTGAGTGTGATGAGGAAGGGGGGGAGGGTTCATTGTAGCCACACCCTAGAATCCCTCAGAATAATTTATGTAGAAGTTTAGAACATTATATCTTTAGTTTGGCAAGATTGTCCACATTAACAGACGGTATTAGCAAATATAGAATTGGATTCAACTGGATTTTACTGTGTCATCTCATGTGTAGGACAACTCGGCAAGGGTGGGTTGGTGCAAGCAGCTCAGTGTGGATGGGTCGGTGCCAACAGATCAGTGTGGAGCACTTGGCACCACTGGGCCAGTGTTGATGGATTGGTACTGATGGGTTGCCGATGATAGTTCGGTGCCAATGGCATGCCCAGTTGTCTGAATGCATAACAAGTGGTCCCCCGCCCCCTGGATGTGGGGACAACTCACCACCATGGGACAACGAAGTGGGGAGGAGATAACATATGAGCGGGGAGGGAATAACATCTGCACCAATTTATTACACATAAAAATATATCTCATTTTGCAAGATGTTATGATTTGAATGTAAGGGATAAAAATAATATAAATAAGTGACTTTTTAAATATTAAATCTACTCAAATATAAAATTTACTCAAAGGTTCTGTGTTTCTTTGCAGCATCACACACTGTGCCCGATCAATAGAAACCAATCTAAACTCCTGTTAGAAGAGAAGCTTGCAAGAGGTTATGAGTTTGGATACGTACTGAAAACGATTTTCAAAGATAAGAGTTTTTAAAAGTGCAATGCGGTTTAATTAATTATACATTATTGTTTCCTTTCCTTTCTAAAATGAAACATTTCCTCTCTTTGGTATCCGTTTTAGTAATGAACATGAGGAATGAAAAAAATAACATACATCGATACCTTGACTATAACTTCTGTTTTAACAATGTTGTGACCCAGTGACAGCAAACAGCTGCTCATGTGTATTGTTTGCATTTAATGTCTGAATTTTAAATCTAGTTGAAAGAGAACAAAGAGAGCAAAAAATAAAACAAATCTTACCACTGGCTTGATCATTAAATATTTCACTGGATTGCTTGGGGATATGTGTATTTTTCTTATGATTTTGCCAAATGCCTTCTTGGATTTGAGTTCTGATGTGCCTAGAGATGAGACGAAGGGAATCATCTCAAGGTTTGGCCCTGGATTGTGGTAATCTTCATAGACCTTGTCAAAATCAAAGAATGAAGGATCAATTCACAGATCTAAGAACTGAATTGATTTTGAATTCTGAATAGAATTCCCCCACCCTTGATGCAGAGGATGGTCTAGATGAATCTCTGGCACTCAGGCCCCAAATGACTTTAGTGGCCTGGATTTCTAGCTGGATCTGGTCTGATAGTTGTGACTCCATGTTCCATAACCTCTCAACCTTAAATATGGTTTCCCATAAATTATCTGGAGGATCCCAGATCTGATCTTTACCTTGAAAGCAGGTTTAATAGTGCCAAAAGGCAAATCTTCAGAGGATGTGGACCCAATGAGCATTAAAGCATGGGAAGATTACTTGGGAGAAATTATAAGTATCTTGCAAACTGAATTTAGCACGGACGCCTGGATTTAATTTACACAGAGCATGTTTGATTTGTTGGTTAGTTTAACTATGAGGTTGGCATTTTAGGCAGTTTTATCTGCAAGCTGTAGTTTATAGTTTAAACATGATGTGTGAATCAAGTCAGATGTGTTTTATTCTGTTAATAAATATTCTGTTTATATCATTAGTGATGTGTTCATAGTTTGATAATCAGGTCAAAGGGATAACCTAGAGGTAATGTTTACCTTGCTTTCCATCATACCTTCAATTACAACCTCATATTTGCTGTTGGAATTTCAGGTTAGTTTATAGAATCTGTTCCATATTAAATGTTGATAGTAACTTGAATAGTGGGAAGTAAACTGCTGCAAATTTATATGGCCTGGCCAAGACTGGTAACCATAAGTCTATATAACCATATGTTTTATATTACTGTCTTACCATGGGGAGTAGTGATGTCACCCTTGGACGATTCCTCTGACTCTTTTTCGGAGGCCTGCTCGAGGGAGGATGAGTTTATTCCTGGCATTTCGGGAACAAGGTTAATTACTGACCCTGAACTGCCAGGAGAAAGAGAATTACAGGCTTCTGCTAAAGACAGCTTGCAGGTAAGTGAAGAGGATGGGGAAGAGCTGTCTTCCATGGTGGATCTCAGAGCACGCAGGGTAGAGAAACGGAGGTCTGCCAGATTACTCAGGAGAAGGCCCCACTCCTCTTGATAGGATGCACCAGGAAGATATTTAGTATGGCAGGCAGAGGGAGGTTTTGCTGGCATCAATGTGTATGATTTATGGCTGTGTGTTTGTTCATGCTTCCTGCTGGACTTTTGAACTTCTCCTGACCAGTGAGTTCCCGTGGAGGTACTTTTAGTTTTGCCTAGTGACTTTCAGTTGGTTTAGTGGACTTACTTGCTGGAGCAGCTTTGCATTTGTTTTATGGACTATTGGCCATTGCATGGTGGACTAATCTTGGCTTGCTTGTGGATGACTTATTGTTCGATGATTGAGTGTTTTAATATTTGTAAACCACTGAGAGTTGCAGAATTGCAGCAGATTAAAAAAAACCTAATGAAATTGATCTGATCAACTAATTTTTGAATAATTTTATTAGTGAGGCAGATCAAATAAAGGAAGAAGAATGATAATGTTTGGCAAGAAACTATATGGAAAGAGAAGGAAGAATTTAGAGGAAAAATAAATCCATATGATATCAACTGCACATTAATTTTTAAACTTATTATTAAACTAGAGCTATAGAGAAAACTGATCAGCTGTACCCTCTGACTTGGCCTCTACATCATGAGTAAGTTTTACTTAAAGTTGTTGGATGTAGGATGTAAGTAACCAAATGTGCTAAGTATTTTTTCCCTAACTTCATCTTTTTTATAAAATCGAGCAATACAAAATTAATATATCCAAGATATATAAAGGTGCTGTTCCAAAATAGTTTTCCCATTATCAAAGCAACCATTATGTTGACCCATTAAAAAAATTGATTAGCATATCTTTATTCTCTACTCATTACAAAAGTCATTTCTCACAGCCTCCAAAGCATTTCTTTCTGTTGAAAAATCTTTATGAAATCATTCTGGTATATCTTGACCCATTTGTGGTGATAAATTATAGGATGTTTTCAATATTTTGAAAAAGAAAAAGATGGGGTTACCGAAAGCCATGTTTTTTTTAAGGGTGCAGGAAAGCAGGAAACAACTTTGAGACGAAAGCAGTTATGCACACAATACACATAAGTACATACAGAAAATACATAGGTGTATTGTGATATCTTAAACTACTGTGCATATACGTATTATGGTTGTGTTGAACATTTCTGCTCTTTGTCCTCCTGGAGAGGTTCCTGCCGCTTCCCATGCTGAGTAGATTGTATTTCTTTTATATCCCAAATGAATTTGAGAGGTATATCCTTCATTTGTGCTTGAAAAATATTGTCAAACCTTTCACTTTGCGATACTGTCATAATATTCTTCCAGTCTCCAACAGTTCCTGATGAAAAAGGAGCAGATTGAAGAATCAATTATTGGTCCTAGCCAGTAGTCTGTTCTCCTGAAAAGAGCCCCAGCATTGATGTTGAATCCTCACAGACCTGCCCACCGTGAAGGTCCCACCAGTGATGATCATCCTTTTGGCTCTGTGTATCTAGTACAATTCTGGAACCACTGTTTTGTCTTCCCACACGATCCAGCTGCTACCTTTATTCTCTCATAGCACATTTATTCATCACAGGAGTAAGTAAAAGAGTGAGTTTTGGACTCAGCAATAGTCACAACTGAGGTTTTTATAGTAATACCTTACTTTGGACAATTTTTTCAGCAGAAAGAGGATATACATGTAGTCCTTGAGTTACAAACACAATTGAGCCCAAACTTTATGTCTTATTTTGGAGGAAACGGGGTAATAAAGGTGGGATCAAACCCTAATAAATTAAATAAATAAATAAATAAATAAATAAATAAATAAATAAATAAATAAATAAATAAAAAGCTGCACTTCTGAAGGAGCAGGAAATCCTCTCAAAGGGGTCGTGGGGCACAGCAGTGAAGAGCCAGCTATTGCTCAAGTTGCAGGGGCATCAGCTCTCTCTCTTTTCATCTCCCATTTCTCTCCCTCTTTCTTTCTCTCCTTCAACACAACCTCTCAGCCTGGTTCAGCCCCCTTTCAAAGCTACATCTCAAGATCTGGGAGATTCAGGGGAAAGCCTCATCAGAAAGAATTGGATTCTTCACTGTCCAAGCCAGAATGGCCCTGATAGGCCTAGAGAATTGAGGCCATGTCCTTTCTAGTGACCAATGGGAGTTGAACTGAACCTCCCCCCAGGAATAACGTGAATGCAGAATTCACCTCTCCTCCACAATAAACTAACATAGATTTTGCCTGCTGAAGAAGTGGAAATGTTCATTCAACACTGGAAAAACTGAGAATGACATAGAACCACCTCAGGTATATGCTGGGGATAAGAATTCAATGTCTTGAGGACACAAGAGAAAAAGAAGTGGTTTCTGAAGCATTTTTGTCCCATGGTTAGATGCAAGAGAGGGAAAATACCAAAGTTTGATTTTGTTCTCTCGGTGTTACCTTTGCGTATATGCTTTACGTTTTTTTGTCCAAAACACTCTTCATATGTTTTCACAAGATTTGCCCTAGGATCAGCTTTCATGTTCTTGAATGTAGACATCTCCACAACTTTATCCACTTCCTGGCTGCTCAGCTCTTTTCCAATAAATTTACATATTTTAAGTACTGTGCCTCTGAGATCCTGGAAGAAGAATTATTTGCTTTTGGAATATTTCTACAGTATACCCTTGTATACCCTTAATTTGGAGGAATAAACACTGGTGGAAATGAATTAGATGGAGATCCTGGACAATAGGCACTTCCCACTACATCTATATCAATTTCAGATGAAGCAAGTTATGTGTGTATGCATGTATTGTAAATAACTACATCAGGGGTGAAATGCTCCCGGTTCGGACCGGCTTGGGCGAGTAGGTAGCGATGGCGGTGGGCAGTTCGGAGAACCGGTAGCAAAAATCCCTGCCCCCGCCCCCCCATGCCCAACTGAGCCACGTGATCATCAGAGCCTTTTTTTCCTTTTAAATGGCTCTGACGAGTTGCTAATCAGGCAACTCAGCTTGGATCGCCAGAGCTATGTAAAAGAAAAAAAGTTTCTTTTTTTCTCCCCCCCCCCAGCCTCCTTCTTTCTGGAAGTTGGTTTTTTGGGCTTTTTGTGGCTGTGTGAGGTTCCTGCTTGTTGCGGGGCCATTTTGAGTCTAGCACAACTGCTTTTACATTGTGGGCGAGCCAGTTGTATTGTGTTGTGTTGTGTGTGTGTAAAGTGTGAAAGTTGTTTTTTTGGGCTTTGTGTGGCTGTGTGAGGTGCCTGCTTGTTGCGGGGCCATTTTGAGTCTAGCACAGATGCTTTTACATTGTGGGTGAGCCTGTTGTGTTGTATTTTGTTTTGTAGGTTAAAAAAGGGCAAAGAAGTGACATTGACTTGGCCACGCCCACCCAGTCACCTTACCACCAAGCCCCGCCCACTAATTAAGCCACGCCCACAGAACCGGTAGCAAAAAAAATTAGATTTCACCCCTGCCCTAGACCACATGGCGCCCGCAGCCCAGCTGCTCTCCAGTTCTCTTGCCTGCTTTCCTGGCTCTCTAGCTGTCACAGCTCACCTAGGCCCTCTCCGGTTCCCTTGCCCACTTTCCTGGCTCCCCAGCCATTTCAGTTCGCCTAGGCCCTAGACCATCTCACATCTGCGGTCCAGCTGCTTTCTGGCTTCCTTGATCCCAAGCCTTCACTGCTCCCTAGTTGTAGGTAAGTAAGTTTCTGTTTTACTTTACACCTTACCCCCAAGGCCATTTCATGCATTTCCCCCAGGAAAACTATGCTCACTGCCCACGCTCACCTAGAACCCTTGGCCTTAAACTATGGCCCCCTGCACCGAAGTAATTTATCCGGTCTACGGCCTGCTATACTTGGTTGAAGGGCTGCTGGGTGGGTGGCGCGGACACAGGTGGGCCAAAGAGGTTTGGGTTTTTACTGAAAGAAATCCCATCCAGAAAGTGCTGTGGTGGAGAGAAGCAGCTGGGTTGAATCTCTGCGGTGTCAGATCTTGCAGCCGCTTCTTCCGGCCCTTGGTGCTGGGTGAGCCTTGGTCACTTGGGGAGATGCTCCACGTGCTCTCTTGAGACACTGGCCCAGCCCCGCTGCTTTTCTCCACCACTGCTCTTGCTGGTGGCCTGCCGGAAGAGTGTCTTGTGCAGCACAGTGAAATTTAGCAGCTGTGAGCTGCCACTTTGGGTCTTTTAAGTCACATCCAGAAAGCATTGCGACAGAGAGAAACAGCATTTAACCCGGCTGCTTCTCTCTGCTGCAGCGCTTGTCAAACCCTTAAAGGATGAAAAGAGAATCGGGATAGAAGAATTGCTTTATCTCCTCTTCAGGAACTTGATCTATCCAAAAGCTTTGGAACAAACACTTTTCCCCCCTTGTCCCTTCTCTATACACTTCTTTCAGGGAAAAAAAGCCCTGACTGAATCAGCTCTACAAACTCTGCTTAGCTGCATAAGCAGAGAATTAGCAGGACTTTGATTTTCAAGTTCTTGGCAAACCCACTGCAATAGTTTATGTAGAGTGCAAAAGAAAAATAGAACTATTCTACCTTAAAAATGTAAAAGTTAGGTTGTTCAGAACATTCACAAATGTTCAACCATAGATAAAAGCGAACTGTACCTGCAGCTGCATCTCTATTTGTCTAGGCCTATTCCCTGAATCCTATTGACCTTGACAAAAAAAAATATGGTATTTTTCGGAGTATAAGGTGCACATTAGTTTTTGGGGAGGAAAACAAGAAAAAAAAGTTCTGCCTCTGCCTACCAGCATCCATAGGTATTCATCTGACTAGCGTCCTTGTAGCAAACAGCCTGGTCAGCTTCAGCACGTTATCGCAGCCTGATTCAGCATGAGCAGCTGATTGGCGGTTGGATCGGCCTCCAGGAATACCGCCAATCAGCTGTTCCAGGCTGCGGGGATCACCACAGCCCATCGCCACCTCCGCACATTGCGTTTTGGGCCTCCGCACATCACTTTTTGGCCTCCACACACTCTGTTTTAGAACTGTTCTAAGCTACCAGGATTGCCACACCACAACACCACGGATTGCCGCCTCCGCAATTCACATTTTTGGCCTCCGCACACCCCATTTTTGACCTCTGCACATTGCGTTTTTGGCTCGTTCCAGGCGGTGGGATTGCCACCACTGCTGCCAATCTCCAACACCTGGAACCGGCCAAAAACGTAATGCGCTGAGGTAAAAAATGGGAAATGTGGAGACCAAAAACATGATGCACAGAGGCCAAAAACGACAAAAGGGTGGGGGCCAGAGGGTGGGTGGGGCTTCAGCAACATTTGCTGTATAAGACGCACAGACATTTCCACCCACTTTTGGTGGGGGGAAGTGCATCTTATACTTGGAAGAATATGGTAAGTGGGGGAAAGAAGTGAATAGTCTCACCTGGATCATTTCCTCATAGCACAGGAAGAGAATATTGAATTCATTCTGATGTGTATACCAGTCTTTCACATGATTGAAGACCAAACTGCCAATAACTGTTGGTTCAAACAGAGAATGGAAATAAGAATGGTCGTGCTTAAGTTAATTCTGATTCCTCACATGAGCTATAAGGAAAATATTTTTCTTTTAAACATTATATACACAAAGCCAATGTCAGTAAGGCATAATGATTTTGAGGATCATTTCTTTCTAAACAGCATGCATTATACAATTAGAATAGGAACTCTTTGGAGATGTCTTTGGAAATGGAAAAAAATTGCTAAGGATACCAACAATCTTTTTTGCATTTTAAGGCATACAGGGGGCCATCAACTGTTCGTACAGGGACTGTTTGAAATTATGACATCACTGAATTAAGGGGCTTATAACTCCTGCCTGAATTTATGGCTGCTGCCATACCCCCATGATTGTGTGAACAAAATTTGAATTATTGGCAATCTGCCTGCCTTTACAAGGGCGCTGTAGAGGCCTCCCCTCCTATATTCTTACCATACTGTCCCACTGGGTCCCTGTGGGCTCTTTTCTACCTCCATCACTGATGAGACAGTTGCCATTTTGGTGCTGTAGTGGCCTCCCCTCCTATATTCTTACCATACTGTTCCAAAATGGTCTCTGCTTCCAAGGCAGACCCAAATGTCTTCCAGGAGGCCGCAGGGCTGAGTGGCCTGATCTCCTTCCCCAGCGTGATCTCTGGAGCTCCAGAGATCACATTGGGGAACAAGAACAGATTGTTCTGCCCCGCTACAGTGTTTCTCTACAGTGTCCCTCGGCCTGTTCCTCTACAGTGGAGGTTGTGTTTCTCCATTCCACAAATGGCTGCAATTTTGGGAGCAGCTACCATACATTGTGGGACCTATGGGATGCTGAGGTCTAGGAAGCAGAGCATGGGCTGCCTCAGAGAGTGGGGCAGGCCTTGGAGGCCCGGGGCAGGCCATGATTGGGCTGTAAAAGTATTGCAGCACATGCCTGGGCCTGCACTAGGCTTCCTAGGGTCTCCCCCACCCAGAGACACCCCTTGCTCTGCTTAATTGCCAGCCCGGTTGCTTAACACCCGTGAAGAGCAGGGATGGGGATTATTAGGCATGGCAGTGAAGACAGTTACAATTAATGATAGCCCTGAGTTGAAAAATGACTCAGTTAGGATTGTTTTCACTCATCCAAGCCACATGTTGTCTCTGGCCAGATTCACACCATTACTGTTTAATGCAGTTCCTCTAATGAACCCCGTTAGATCCTTATTGCTATGTTGGCTGACATGGATTTTATTTTAATAGAGAGAGGTGGAAGTTTATGAGTGTTTAATTTTTTCCCACACACAAACCAATGACAGCAACTGTGCAAAGTGAGATTTAGCCTGGAGTTTCATTGGAGAATGAGGAAACTTGGGATTCATTAGGTCTAAAGTTCTCCCCTATTGCTGAAATGCTTCAAACTGTGTGTTGTTGTTGTTAATAACTCCAAGGGGACACACTAGCAAGCCAGCCTCTTTTGACAGTGTTGTGATAAAGATTTTATTTCCATCTTACCATTTCCAGATAAAAAACTTTGCATGTATTCCTCCAAATTACTTGAATTTCCCAATATACGGAACGAGTTACAATAATGAAAAAAGGACACTAAAACGTCTTTTGGATTTCGGTACACATAAATCACCTGCAAGAATATATATTTATGTAATCTGTAATAAATACATTCATTTTCAATAAACTGAGGATGCGTTCTAAAGTACATTGAAAAATGTTCTTATAAAATTATATAAATCTTTCCCTATTCCTGATATAAGGTATATTTCACTGCCCCCACATTTTATTCTCACAATCATGTCATGAATTGAGCTATAGTAATTGGCTATATAGTAATTGGTTATATTAGCAATCAAACAATAAATAATCAAGGAACCACTAACTTAGTCACACAGTAAACAACAGCCTAATCAAGGAACTACCAAGAATACACCTACCAACACTGGCAAGGCAAGCCACTTCTATATAAAGTGAGCAAACTCCACTCCTTTCTAGCATTTAGGATGTTATCTAGTTGGGTAATGAAATGTCTGCAAGAAAACAACCAAGTTTAGAGAACACCAAGGACCCACAATTGTCTCAAAGTTGTCTTCTGCTTTTAATGGGTGAATATATGTAGAGATTTTTCATTTAGGTAAAAAACAACTTTTTTTTTTAAAGGGAAATCACTAGATCTAGTTTCATCATCTTGTTCAGTTGAAGATCTGCACTTTATCTTGCTTTCTGCAGAGAATAAGGGAAACAGTCCTAACAGAATAACAGAGTTGGAACGGACCTTGGAGGTCTTCTAGTGCAACCCCCTGCTGAAGCAAGAGACACTGTACCATTTCAGACAAATGGCTGTCCAATCTCTTCTTTAAAAAACCTTCAGGGATGGAACACCCACAACTTCTGGAAGCAAGCCATTCTGGTAATTAATTGTTCTAATTTGTCAAGGAAATTTCTCTTTAGTTCTAGGTTGTTTCTCTCCTTAATCAGTTTCTATCCATTGTGTCTTGTCCTGCCTTCAAGTGCTTTGGAGAATAGGTCTTCTTTGTGGCAGCCCCTCAAATATTGGAATACTGCTATCATGTCACCCTAGTCCTTCTCTTCACTAGACTAGACATACTCAATTCCTGCAAGAGTTCTTCATATGCTTTAACATCCAGCTCACTAATAATCTCTATTGCTCTTCTCTGCACTCTTTCTAGATCTCAACAACTTTTTTGATATTGTGGGGTCCAAAACTGGATGAAATATTACACGTGTGGTCTTACCAGAGCTTGGATGTAAACATACAGCTTGATCAAGAAACTACATTTGAGGGCAACACAAGGGACTCTATGAAGGTTCTAGCAGCCTGATCACTTCTGAAAAACTCCCAAAAGCTTTGATGCATTCCATTTGCAGAGCACTTGAGCGCTGACTTTTTTTCAGCGTTTCTTGGACCCAATGACAGGGATACTTCTTCCATAGACTTCTCATTGAGTAGCCATAATTCCAGTTCCTGAGAGCTATTGCCTTGCTTCTGTTTTCATTCCCACTTCAGTTGATGACAGGGATTTCTCTTGCATTCAATGTTCCTTTAGTAGGTATTCATCTGGTTGTGGACTCTGTTCCTATACCACCTATGTCTATATTTCTTCCTACTTGATTTTGGTTTATCATTTGGTTTATAGCAAAGTGGATTTTTTTTCTGCTCTAATTGTAGATTGGGCTATTTTTCTGTGTAGGTAATCATTAAAAACAAGGATGCAAAATCACTTGTGAAATTTCATTTACAAATAATTCTTTCAGGGCCATAATTTCAAATAATTAAATCTTTAATGAGTCAGTACCTTGAGAAAAAATGGGCATGACCCCCAATCAATTTATGCTTCACTGTAAAACATAGAAGTTTTGTCTTTTAAGAATTTGTGTGCACTCCTGGCCCTTTTACTCACATAGATAAAGGTTAATACAGTTGCATTACAGTGCTTTTTTCCCTATATGAATATAAACACACAAATACATAAATATACATGTATACTTATACAATCATTGTATTTTTCAGCTAACTCATTTTTATAGTCAGAATAGAATGACAAGATTGACCTACTTTTCCCTTTTTGGCCCTCAGTTTCTTGGGAACTAGGTAATATGGCAGATGGGACGCGATGACACGAGGTGATGGCATCTGGGTGATATCCACATTGTGTATGTTGTATTCTATGGATACACACCGATGTGATATACAAATATTTTCTGTTCCATTCCGATGGCCTTCATACAAAATGAAGCATACAATATTCTGGGTCCAGAGAGTTCCTAAAAATGAAAATCAACTTGTTCTAAATTTCAGGGAATTATCTGGGTTTCAGATTACTTATATCACCAAAGTTGTATCACTAAGAGAAGAAATAATGTGCATTTCTGATTTTAAGTGAAGAAATCAATTAAGATCAAGAGTGGAATAATTCATATAGTACCTGTGAGCAGAATAATCTTAGTATAATTTTAAGCATATTCTATGCTGTCAGACTTATTTTAAAGTGAATTCTGGGATTCTCCTCATCACAGAAATAGAACTTAGCTGTATCATACAGTATACTCATACATCACCTATGGAGAAAACTCACTTAAAATCTAGAAATGTTCCACTTGACATTTCGATATGTTTTAAATAGTATTTGCTTATAGTATATAAGCAAGAATGGTATTTGATTATATAGTGAGTTGTATGAGGTAGACTAGGATTCTGAAGTTCCGGTTTGAGAGCTTTTAGGATATCAAACCTGTGTCTCCATATGCACTAAATTCTGAACTCTGGGGCTTATGTTTGTCCCTTGTTGGAGTAGGAAGGAATTAATTTCATAGTAAAGGGATGATTTTTTGCTACTTCTAGAGCTCTTCTTCCAAGGGTTTCTCATGAAGGAAGGAAGGAAGGAAGGAAGGAAGGAAGGAAGGAAGGAAGGAAGGAAGGAAGGAAGGAAGGAAGGAGGCATTACCAAAGTGGTGTTACATACTTTAGAATAGAATAGAATAGGATTCTTTATTGGCCAAGTGTGATTGGACACACAAGGAATTTGTCTTTGGTGCAAATGCTCTCAGTGTACATAAATGTACAGTGTAAAGATGCAAGCAACATGGCTATAGCCATAAGTGGGAAGAGACAGGTACTAGTAAGGATGAGAATAATAATAGTAATATAGTCTTAGTAGATAATTTTTTTTGAAAAAGTTTTTTTTTTATTTAAAACAAAAATCAAACATAAAATCACCATCATTCAAATACAATTACAAACAGTGTGTCGATCGGTTAAAAATTTTTGTGCTCAATTCCTTATCCCAAAATACCAATTATTTAATTTCTCTTACTTAACAATTTTATATGTTATACTCATTTAGCCATTGTCTAACAAAATAAAACATTTCATATATTTTACCATTACATTAATTTCATATTTCATATTTCATCTCCATACTTTATTATCTAGACGTTGATAAAACAAATCCCAAATCAAATAATATTGTTTATCTTCCTGTTCTCTAATTTCAAATGTCAATTTACTCATTTCAGCACACTCCATAATTTTTTTAATAATTTCATCCTCAGTAGGTATCTTCTCACCTTTCCAAATTTTAGCAAATACAATTCTAGCCGCTGTTAAAACATTCACAATTAGATATCTCAATTCTTTGTTATATATTTCTGGTAAAATCCCTAATAAAAATATCTCTGGTTTAAAGTCAATGTGTTTCTTTGTCATTTTTTCCAACCATGTGTGGATTTTAGTCCAGTAACTTTTAGCTTCTGCGCATGTCCACCACATATGGTAATAGGATCCTGGCATCTGATGACATTTCCAACATTTCTCCGATTTATTCTTGAACATTCTGGCTATTCTCATCGGGGGTAAATGCCACCTGTAAAACATCTTATACAAAATCTCCTTATATGCTGTAGACATTGTCATTTTATAATTTTGCAACCACAATTTTTGCCATTTCTCTAAATCAATCCCATGACCAAATTTTTCCCCCCATGCTATCATTGTCTCTTTAACTTCTTCTTCCAATTTTACCTCTAATAAATAACCATACAATTTTTTAATTACATAGTCATCAGATCCTGTCAATATCTTATTTAAATTAGTCAAAACATTGTAAAAACCTTCTTGTTGAAAATCATCTTCATATCTAGAACGTATTTGCAAATAAGAAAACCAATCCATCTTAAAATCTTGTTCTTCCAATTCTTGCTTTGACTTAAGTTCACCCTTTTCATTCATTAATTCACTATATCTAACAATTTGTTCTCTTCTAAATATTACTGAATATGAAAAAGCTTCAATTGTTGATACCCAGACTGGAATTTTCAAATAATGTTGTTTCTTAATCTTCTCCCAATTCAATAACAAAGCCTCATGTATATGATGTCTCCTAAAATACCGCTGTATTTTTGTTCCCTTATACCATAAAAAGGCATGCCACCCCATCAACAAATCATGACCTTCTCGATTCAATAGTCTTGTATTCCTTAATGTTATCCATTCTTTAATCCATATGAAACTTGTCGCTTGGTAATAAAGTTCTCAGTTAGGTAGGCCAAAAACCCTTCTCATTCTAGTGTCTTGTAGCAACTTTAATCTTATCCTCGCCTTCTTTCCCTGCCAAATATATTTTAACACCATTTTATTTAATTCTTCAAAAAAATCTTTCCCCAATCTAATTGGAATTGTCTTTAACAAATATAAAATTCTAGGCAAAATATTCATCTTTATAGTTGATATCCTTCCGATCAAAGAAAGCTGTAAATTTTGCCATTTCGCCAAGTCTGTCCCTATCTGTTGTTTAGGTTTATTATAATTATTTTCTTTTAGCATGCTACATCTTGCTGTCAAATGTATTCCCAGATATTTAACTTTGTTTGTGACCTGCATCTTTGATATATCCGCCAATTCTTCTTTCTGCTTTACCAACATATTTTTAGTCAATATTTTCGTTTTCTCTTTGTTGATTTTCAAACCAGCCACTTTTCCAAATTCTCCTATTTTATCTATCAGTGTAGTTATAGATATTAATGGATCTTCAAGAATAAAAACCAGGTCATCAGCAAATGCTTGCAATTTATATTCTTCTTTTTGAATTTTCATTCCTTTTATATCTCTTTCTTCTCTTATACATTGATTTAGCACTTCCAAAGTCAATATAAACAACAGAGGGGACAATGGACAACCTTGTCTAGTGCCTTTTTTTATCTCAATAGAGTCTGTCAATTCTCCATTTATCATTACTTTTGCTGTTTGTTTATAATATATAGCATCTATTGCTTGCATGAATTTTCTGCGAAAACCCATCTGTTCCATTTGACGCAGCAAAAAACACCAATTTACATTATCAAAAGCTTTCTGTGCATCTAAAAATATCAAAGCCATTTGATTTTCCGGATGCGCTTCATAGTATTCCAAAGTGTCCAGAATTATTCTCATATTGTCTCTGATTTGTCTTTTAGGCAGAAACCCATTTTGATCTGAATGTATAAAATTATTTAAGTATCTTTTAAGTCTTTCTGCCAATATTGAAGCAAAAATTTTATAATCTGAATTTAGTAGGGAAATAGGTCTATAATTTTTGATTTGTTGTGGGTCTTTATCCTCCTTCGGAATCAATGTAATATATGCCTCAGACCATGATTTGGGTATTTCCTTTTTTATCATCACCTCATTCATAACTTCTAATAATGGGAGACTTAAAGATTCCTGCAATGCCCTATAATATTCCGCTGGCAAACCATCTGGCCCTGGTGCCTTCCCATTCTTTTGTCTTTTAATTGCTTCATTTAATTCCATCATCATTATGTTTCCCTCTAGCATCTCCTCAATGTCTTTAGAAATCCTAGGTAAGTTTGTATTTTGAAGATATCGTATCACATTTTCCTCCTCTGTCTCTTCTTTCTCATACAGTTGTCTTTAAAAATCTTGTATAATTTTTTTCTTCTCTTTATTTCCAAATTTACTTTGTCCTTGGTCGTTGATTAATTGTATTATTTTTCTTGATTCTCTCTCTTTTTTCTATTTATATGCTAACCATCTTCCTGGTTTATTAGCATTCTCAAAATAATTTTGTTTAGAACTTCTAATTTTTTGAGCTAATTCTTCTTTCTCCAGTAGGTCTATTTTATGTTTTATTGTATCCATTTTCACTTTAACATCTTTTTTTGTGTGGACATTTCTGAGGTTCTTTTTCAAATCTCTTATAGTCCTCTTCCAATATTTTGTATGTTTGTTTTTTCTTTGCATTTCTCTTCCTTGTATAATCCATTATCAAACCTCTAGCATAGGCCTTCATTGTATCCCATAGATTTTGCATCGAGGTATCTTCTTTCCTATTCTCCTTGAAGAAGAAAGCCAATTCTCTCTCCATTTTCTGTACAAAATCCTTTTCTTTTAATATAGTATTGTTTAAAGTCCATCTAAATTTTCTCCTTTGTCCCTTCCATTTCACTGTCACTGGATTATGATCTGCCCAGGTATTGGCTTCTATCTCAATTTGTTCTATGTTTAGTGTCAAGTCCATTGTTGTCCATATCATGTCTAATCTAGACCAAGATAAATGTCTATCAGAATAAAAAGTATATTGTCTATTTTTTCCATTTCTATCTCTCCATACATCTTTTAGATTTGTTTCCTCAGTCATCTTAAAAAAAAATTTCGGTAATATCTTTCTACTATGTCTTATTGCTTTGTATGTTTTATAGGCCAAGTCTCCATCTACTATACCATTAAAATCTCCCATCATACAAATATTATCATATTCCAAATCCGTTATTTTAATATGCAATTTTCTATAAAAGTCACTTTGATTACTATTTGGAGCATATATTGCTACTAAAAGAATTTTCATATTATTATCCAGGATCTCCACCATCAAAATTCTACCTTCTTCATCTGCATATATTTGCTCAGCTGGTATTGCAGTTTTAATGTATAAAACCATTCCTCTTTTTTTACATTGTGGCAATGATGTGAAAATTTTCCCTAATTTAGGATGTACTAGTGACTGTTCATATTGCTTCTTAATATGTACTTCTTGCAGGCAAACTATATCAAATTTTAATTTTTCTAATTTGTGGAAAGTCTTTCTTCTTTTTACAGCTGAGTTAAGTCCATTTATATTTATTGAAATCAACTTTCTCTCTTCCATATTCATACTTTGTATATAGGCTTTGTTGCTCTAGTTGATCTTAATTCACACTGTTCTTTATGTTCCACCACCCCTCCTACTACACCTTCTAGTTTTTCCATCATTGCCAGCTCCTCTTCTCAAAATTGTACTGGGACAACTGTCAACTGAAATTCCATTTCTGTTTCCTTCTCCTTAAAAAATTCAGCATGAAATGCTCTTGCTTTGTCGATTGTGTCTATTCTGTATCTTTGAAGTTGCCATGTTAACACTAGTCCCTCTGGTACCAGCCATCTATAATTCACACCTTTTTGGAGTAATATTTTGGTCAGAAATTGATATTTTCTCCGCATCTCTCTCACTTTTCTGGGTACTTGTTTCAAAGCCACAATTTCTTTCTCCTTCTACTTCAATGTTTTTTCTCTGGCAATTTGCAATATTTGTGTTTTAGTTGATTTCTTAGTAAATCTTATATGCACTTCTCATGGTAGCTTATTCCACATTGCATACCTAGCATAAACTCAATATATCTCATCTACACCATCCATCATCTTCTCCTTTGTGATTTCTAATGCTTCAGCCAAAATTCCTATCATTATTTCAGCCAGATTCTCTCCTTTTTCTTCTTCTACATTTTGAAATCTAAGATAAAATTCTGATTTATCCATCTCCCATCCAATTAATCCACTCCTGTCATGTTCAACTTCTCACAATCTATTATCTATATCTTTAATTTTTTCCTCTTTTTGTTCCTCTTTTTTCTCAAGCTTTTGCAGCCTCTCTGTCACTGCGTTATGTGTTTGTCAGCCGAGCGTCCATTCTGAGCGTTACGGTAGCCTACCAGAGAACTTTATCACGTATCTACAGCAACAGAGATAAGACTAGTCTTGTGAAAATTTTGAGCTACTGTGCATGTCCACATTCTTTTCTAACTGCCTGATTTATACTTCCTTTGTTCGTCTGTGAGATAAACTGCCAGTAAAAATGTAGTTAGCTAGTTTTTCTATATTTATAATAAAATCCTTATTAGAATATATATATTTCGGTTTTCTTTCTTTAAAGTATACAGCATGGAAAACAAGATCCATCCGTCTCTAATTAATTACAGTTTCCCCGGGGGGGGGGAATGAGGCTGATTTATGCTCCGACACTCTCATCATATTTCAACATCATTTGCTATGTACTCTCTACTTTTTCATCTATCTTACATATTTGTTCCATCCTCTGAATTGTTTGGAAAATCATTTGTAGTGTTAGATCTTTCTCCTTCTCCTTTTCTTTGTCCTTCTCCTGCAGAAGCATCAATTGTATTGACCGCTGTCCTCCAGATGGTGATGAGGCAGGTGTAGTTGACGCAGACCAACTGTCGCTACTTTTCTACTCATTTTATCCAAAAATCAAAACACCGACAACCAAAAGATCCAAGGAAACAAAAAATAGCAAAAGAAAAAGGAAAAAAAGAAAATAATCAAATCTTCAGGTTCTTCAATACCCTAATCCACTTTGAAGGAAAGGAGAGGGAAATTTTTTTAAAAAAGGAACAAAATATAAAAAGCAAAAAGAGAAAATTAATCCAAATGGTAGCAAAAATACACTAAAAATCAATTTCAAAAAAAATAAAGATTAAAAAATAGAAATGGAGAAAAAAAAAGACCAAGTAACCAACTAGAGGGAGCAACCAAAAAAGAAAAAAGAAAGCAAAAAAAGAAATCAAAATTCAATCTTCAGACTCTTGTATATCTTAATCCAATTCAGTTATTTAAGACCAAAGAGGGAAAAAAAAAGAAAGGAAGGCCATCAAAAGACCAAGACCTTAGCGCCTTCTGCGGTTCCCTTAAAACCCACTTTTTCCAGCAAGCCGGGCTGGCTTAAGAAGAAATTTTAAATGTTTTAATTGGTTTGTATTTTTAATTTTGGGCCAAATTTATATATATTTTAATTGTTTTTAATATTTGTATTCCATGTTTTTTTAATTCTGGCTGTACACCACCAGGGAGAAGGGCGGTATATAAATTTAAAATAAAATAAAATAAAATAAAATAAAAAAATATTTAAGCTGGGGGAATTTACAGAGAGTTATCATTTAACAGGAACAATAAGAAAAACCAAAATAAAAAAAAGTAAAAGAAAGTTTCAATTTCTTCAGCAGTACTTCTGCCTAAACATTAACAAATCTCTCTCATTTGCCTCAGACTCCTACTTCAAATGTTTCTCCAAAGAGCACTTGAATAAACAAAACCAATAGCTCCAGCTATCTCAGATATTCTTGCAACAATTCTTATCAGCAGTGAAAGTTCAGAGTCTTTGGCTTATGTCAACAATGTTATATAATTGTTTCAACTTGTTGCTTTAATGGAAAAAGAAATATTAACAAAGTTTCCGTCTAGTAGATGGCAGTAAGTAGCAATATTATACACTCTCCTAGTTCTCCTTTTATAGTCCGAAAATTCTATGTCAATAAAAAAAAAGAAATTGAAAAATCAAATCAATCTTCAGAAAAAATAAAAGAATTAACTCCAAAAGGAAAAATATTTCAAGTATCAGGCACAAAGGCTTACAGGTGTTAAACTCTCAGTTCAGCCAATCCTTTCCATCCAGTCCCGGTTAAAAACAAAACAAAAATTTAAAACTCCACCAATTTAGATAGATTAAAAATAAAAAGTAATTCCTGCTTAAATTCGCCACTTAATTTCTTTTAAGTCCAATTATAATTTCACTTCAATTCAGGGTGTTTTTTGCATTAGTTTAATTTAAAAGTCTCTTACCGTACTCAAGTACAGACTCACTGTACTTCTATTCTTCTTCCGGAGCTGTCCCAGCTTCAGCAGTTACTATGGCTGCCAACCCGCCACTAGAAAAAGGGCTTCTCCTGGATCAATCAGGGACTTTGTGGTGTCCCTGAGATGGTCAGGATGTGCCCTCCACTGTCACAGTCAAAACAAGACTGTGAGGTCCAAAATGGACCATCCAGCAGCAGGGGTATCAGCGGCGACCCTGGAGCCCAGGAATCAGCCGTCTGTTTCGTTGTGACATCAAGCTCCTCCCCCCGTTTTAGCAGATAATTTGACAGTGTTGTGGGAATTGGTTGTTTAGCAGAGTGATGGCAATCGGGAAAAAACTGTCCTTGTGTCTTGTTGTTCTGGTATGCAGAGCCCTATAGCATCATTTTGAGGGTAGAAGTTGAAACAATTTATGTCCAGGATGGGAAGGGTCTGTAGATATTTTCACAGCCCTCATTTTGACTTGTGCTATATACAAGTCCTCAGTGGAAGGCAAGTTGGTAGCAATTGTTCTTTCTGCAGTTCTAATTATCCATTAAAGTCTGTGTCTGACATGTTTGGTTCCCGAGTCAAACCAGACAGTTATAGAGGTGCAGATGACAGACTCAATAATTCCTCTGTAGAATTGAATCAGCAGCTCTTTGGGCAGTTTGAGTTTTCTGAGTTGGCACAGAAAGAACATTCTTTGTTGAGCTTTTTTGATGACATTTATGATGTTAGGTGTCCATCTTAAGTCATGAGATATAATAGAACCTAGAAACTTAAAGGACTCTACTGCTGATACTGAGTTGTCTAGTATTGTAAGAGGTGGTAGTATAGGAGGGTTTCTCCCAAAATCTACCACCATAAGTACAGTTTTGAGTGTACTTAGTTCAAGATTGTTCTGGTCGCACCACAAGGCTAGTTGTTCAACCTCCTGTCTGTATGCAGATTCATGTTGTCTCAAATGAGACCAATCACTGTTGTATCATCTGCAAACTTTAGTACTTTAATAGAGGGATCTTTTGAAATGCAATCATTGGTATAGAGAGAGAGAAGAGAAGTGGAGAGAGCACACAGCCTTGGGGGGCTGCTGTGCTAATTGCACAGGTATCAGATGTGATTTTGCCTAGCATCACCTGCTGCTTCACCTGCTTCGCCTGCAGCTGAGATACATTCTTTCCTTCTTTCTAGCTCTAGAGCTCTTGAGAAAGAAAGGAGCTTGGAAATTGTTTTTTCAAAGCCACAGCATAGGAAATACTCCAGAATCTTAAAAAAACAAAGGGGAGATAGAACCATGCAGTCAACGAGGCTTGTTATGTTCAATGATACAGACCAAGTTCTAAAATAAAGGCATTTATTTGTGAAGAGGGGAACTAACAAAGGCTACAATCACAGGTGCAGAATTCCAAACTAAATCAACATAATCAGGGCAATGTATCTATTCACAAGTTAGAACTGTGTCATGGGAAAGGTCCATCTCCTGCTTTGATGGAATCCAGCATTTTCCCCAAACCAGAGAAAATAGTTTTCAGAAAAACTATTCTTGAAACACCTTCTCTCTATAAAGCCCTTGAATACAAGAAATCAAAGTAGCTATTATTTTTTTCCTGGCTGACAGAGGTGAGTCAGATTATGGAGGAAGTGATAGGGTGAATAGCACCAAGCTATAGTATAGAAAAAGTTCCTTCTCTCTGTTGGGTCAAAGCAGGGGAAAGAAGAGTTAAATCTTTTCATTCTGAGTAGTGTTTTTCCCATTCTTGAATGGGGAGCCTTATTTGGTTGTAATACTTTCAAAATATCCTTTAAGTAAAACCATAATTCTGCAGAATTCCCTTTGTTAGTAAAGGATACCAATATGGAGGATTTCTTAGATTCTCTTAGCTTCACTAATACCAGATTTAAAAAAATAAACCAGGCCCTTTTGGCAGACCTATTAACTTTTGCTAAATGCAGAATGATTTCCAACAAGAAGGGTTACTTACTTTCATGCAGAGGGGCAGAATGAAACTTCCCAAAGAGAAAGTTTAGTTACAGTATGAAATTTAAATATACATTGCTCATGTCATATTACAGAATTCTTACCAGACTTTGGATAAGTGATTACGAATATATCACTATCCCTGGTTTCCAAATCTTCTGCTGCTTCAAGGAAATCAAGTTTCATTAATTCTTTTTGTAAATTATACCCTTTATAGTTGAATAATGCTGCATTTTCTGCTTTTTCCATAATAACAGGGCTGCAATAAAAGAGAAATTAGAGAGGTGTTTTTCCCTTCCTTAATGCTAGCAGCATAAACAGAGGGTCAAGACTTCTCTCACACTTATAATTACTGAAATTACTGTTTCAATAATTCACATTTGGCAACCTTCTTCAGCTATGATTCCCAAGAGAAAACAACCCAGAAAAAATCTATTTTTTCCCCCACAACTGTTAAAATTGGAACTCAAAAAGTTACATTTAAGGTCTTCAATACAGGGGTGAAATCCAGCAGGTTTGGACAGGTTCTGGAGAACTGGTAGCGGAAATTTTGAGCAGTTTGGAGAACCGATAGCAGAAATTTTGATTATTCGGAGAACTGGCAAATACCACCTCTGGCTGGCCCAGAGCGGGGTGGGAATGGAGATTTTGCAATATCCTTCCTCCAGGAGTGGGGAGGGAATGGGGATTTTGCAATAGCCTTCCCCTGGAGTGGGAAGCCACCCCCACCAAGCCACACCATGCCCACTAAGCCACACTCACAGAACCGGTAGTAAAAAAAATTTGGATTTCACTATTGCTTCAATGTTATCAAGAGGAAAACAAGGAAGTTGGAATTTTTATAGCTGTTATATATACGCAGGACATAGAGAAACTTTTTGAACTTAATTTGAGAAGAACTAATAAAAATATATGTTGGTATGACCACTCTTTGATGGAAAGGAAAGTGGGATTTTAAAGTATTCCACAGAATTTAGTGGAGACTGATGTTAAAAGTGTTTTAGGAGATCATGCAAGGAGCCCTCCCTTTGCCTTTGTCAAATAATTTTAACAGGGTGCATTATTCTTGAAAAATTCTATATTTTTTTAAAAAAATTAATTCTTCAATTTAACTTTAAAACTTTAATTTTTCTATAGTTTTATATGCTCATGCATTATTGTATATCAACCTGAACCCCTCTCTGAGGGAGATGGATGGCTCCAAAATATGAAATATACAATAAACAAATAAGCCTTGGTATAATTGTGTTAGAAAAATTTCTCTCTATCTTTCTATCATGTGTTCACTCAGCAACCATTCCGTTGCAGACCTGGTTGTTGGAAAGCAACTCTGTTACTAAATGAGTACTGAGTAAATACTCCTTGTATACATTATATGAGGAGAACTGTGTTAGTCTGGGATAGTAACAAATCAGGAGTCTGATAGCCAAATTAACACTTTTTATTAAAAGGCATAAGCTTTTGTGAGATGTTACTCAGCTCCTTCTGATTTCTAGTTTATAGTAATTACAGATGTACATAGCTAGTTGATATTCTAATGATTTTATTAGATGACCATATGCATGCCTCATTAATCATACATTTTAACAGCACTGATCAGTTTAATATTCTGGTTAATATATGAAGTCAAACTGGTTTAATCCTAAACAAATGTATGAATTTTTTGATCCTTGCATCCACATGACTTTTTTTTTAAAAAAAATGAAACAATGTATGTGCTATACCTGTTAATAGTAAAACGTCAGAGAACTACTTTAAAACGAAGCTTAAAATCATTAACATCTTAATCAAACATTTTCTAATAAACTACTATCATCTGTCTTAATGCTAGGAATAAATCTTTTAGAATTACCTTTATGGTTCTTTCTTGCTGATTATTTAATATCTCTTCCAGAAATAAAGCATTGAACAGAGCAGAAGGAAAATGACTTTTATCTGTTGACTGTGAAAGGATCACCAGTGACTGGCTTTGTTTCTTTAAAGGCTTTGAACTCTGGACTGTTGACATCAGAAAGCAAACCTAAATTGCACAGTCACTTCATAAACAACTATTTTGCAATTCAGAATTAACTTGATAAAGCCACATCTAGAATAGAATAGAATAACAGAGTTGTAAGAGACCTTGGAGGTCTTCTAGTCAGCCCCCTGCTTAGGCAGGAAACCCTACACCACTTCAGAGAAATGGTTATCCAATATCTTCTTTAAAACTTTCCACCACTTTTACTACCGGTTCTAAGGAACCAGACAGAACTGGGAGCAACCCACCACTGGTTTAAACTATTCTTCCCACCTGGATGGCAAACCTGAGTGGAGCATTCCTTTCTTCGGCTCCACTCTGTTTACTAATGAGTATTTAACACTTAGACTTATATACCTTCCCACTCAGATAGGCCATTGACCAATCAGCTTCTGTTTAGCTAATGTAATCGTGCAGGGGCATCAGATAACTTGCTCTGACCTATGCAGTTCAGTTGGTGTTTCCAACTGGTGACCTGGTGATGGTCAGGTCAGTTGGACCTGTTGCTGCTCCTTGGTCGTCCAATGGATATTTCTGGATTGTAGCCCTGGGTGTGGCTGTTTCTTCCGGAGCTGTTTCATCAGTGACTCTTTGCTGGATTCCCGGTTCTCCAGATAAGTGTACTTCTTGGTTATATGGATATGTGTCTGACACGATTGTGGCACATATATTTTATTCAAATGGGGTGTTATTTTTGTTTTGGATCATTTCCAGGTGGCAGTGTACTGATGTGCCTATCCGGCTCCAGAGTTGGTCTGGCTGGTTGAGTAGGTGAGTGCTTCTGGTGTATAAGTGGGGTGTAGCTGGTCTAATTTTGTCCTGAGTCTGCGGCCCATTAATAGTTTGGATGGGCTTCTTTTCATTGTGGTGTTAGGGGTGATGTGTTGGGTTAATAGGAATTTATTGATTCGTGTTTGCCAGTACCCTGGGACCATTCGAGACAGTGCTTCTTTGGTTGATCTCACCATTCTTTCAACCTGATCATTACTAGCAGGGTGGAATGGTGCAATCAGAGCATGGCAGATTCCTTTTTCTGTTAAGAATATTTTGAATTGGTTGGCCATGAACTGAAGCCCGGTTATCAGAGACTAGAATGTCTGGTAGGCCATGCATGACGAATAATTCTTTTAGCACTTTAATGACTGCCTCCACTATTGTTAGTTCTAGAGGTCTTCTGAATTCCTTAAAAGCTACTTGGAATATTCCGTACCCTATGATGGGGATTCGATTCTCCTAATAGTCCTTCAACTGCATTTTCTGCTGCCTTAGTTGCCTTTTTGTGATTCCTGGCACTACTTGCTGAATGGTGGCCCAGGATATAATTGACATTGACGATCTGGTATTTATTTCCATGTCACAAGTTGAATCCTCAGTTAGGACCGTGACATGGATCTTCTTTGCTCTCGGAGAGTTTGCGTGCCCAATAGTTGTCTGCTATGTGTTTTTTTCTCTGTGTATTGTCCCACGCTTCGCTGATGAGTCCATTGTTTTGCTCTTCTGGACTCTGTTGGGTAGGTCAACTGATTTGCATGGTAGCCGGTGGTTTGTTGGGGACCTGTCAGGTAGTTTGGTTGGTTTCTGTGGAATTGGGTTGTGCTGTAGCCAGTGGTTTGTTTGGCGCGACAAACTCTTGCCAAATGCTACTTTTTATCATATTTCTGGCAAATGGCCTCTTTGAACTGGTAGGTTGACCTTGTGTGATTTCTGCTGCATCCCTTGCAAACCACCATGGTCCTCTATGAAGTTTCTCTTCTTACCGATCAGAGGTGGCAAACTTAGTTTTCTTCATCCGTTGATTCGTCCTGCTCTGTGCTGCCCTGATCGATGGTGGCATTTTGGCACGAAATGGTTGGGTTGGCAAATTTTTGAACAGTCGTCATAGAACTGATTGAGTTTTCCGCAGCTCTGGATTTGTCTAGTGCCATCTGCAGGGTTAAGTTTGGCTTGGCTAGCAGTCGTCTTTGGAGATTTAAGTCTCTTACCGCACAGATTATTCGGTCCCTGAGCATTTCATCTAGTTCTCGGAACTCGCAGTATAGGGCAGATGTTCGCAACACCGCAATATATGGCAGCTTGCCCTTTTATAAGGGGCTGATAGATGAATTGACCCATCTGTTTAAACTATTCTTCCTGCCTGGATGGTGGACCTGAGTGTAGCCTTCCTTTCTTTGGCTCCACTCTGTTTACTAATGAGTATTTAACACCTAGATTTATATACCATTTCATAGTGCTTTACCTCCCTCTCTAAACAGTTTATAGAATCAGGATATTGCCCCCAACAATCTATGTCCTCTTTTTATCAATCTCAGAAAGATGGAAGGCTGAGTCAACCTTGAGCCAGTCAGAATTAAATTCCTGGCAGTGAGCAGAATTAGCCTGAAATACTACATTCTAACTATTGCACACACACACACACACACACACACACACACACACACAAACCGGTTCGTGCCACAGTCTTTGATTGAACTGCATTACTTGATTTGCATAGATAGTGATAACTGTTTGGATATCCCCAAGTTCTGTAATAGTTTTCTGCAGATAAAACCAAATTCTAAATATTGGGTTAATAGTTGTAAACCATTTCCATGTTGTTGCAAACTTCATGGATGTAATTTGAGGCAGTCTTCACCAGTGCTTATTTGTTTGTAAGTTCAGTATCAGAGATTTTATCAGTAGCTCTTATACTGGTCAGGGGATGTCTTATTTTGCTTTTTCAGAAGTGTTTTACAGCATTACCATCTGGAAAAGGAAATGACAACACCCCTAGAAAGTACTTGAGAATTATTCTCCTATTACACTTGCAGCATACTTGAGCAAGATATTGAAAGTGTTGTATGTAATGGAATGTGCACCTGGAGGAGCAGTGGGGGAGAAATTTGGTAACACACAGCTTTCCCAGAGGGAGGCATGAATTAAAAGACTATGCAGTCCTGGGTTGGATGAGGAAGGTGGGAAAGGTTCATTGTAGCCACACCCTAGAATCCCTCAGAATAATATATGTAGAAGGTTAGAACATTATATTTTTAGTTTGGCAAGATTGTCCGCATTAGCAGACGGTATTAGCAAATATAGAATTGGATTCAACTGGATTTTACTGTGTCATCTCATGTGTAGGACAACTCGGCAAGAGTGGGTCGGTGCAAGCAGCTCAGTGTGGATGGATCGGTGCCAACAGATCAGTGTGGAGCACTTGGCACCACTGGGCCAGTGTTGATGGATTGGAGCTGACGGGTTGCCGATGATAGTTCAGTGCCAATGGCATGCCCAGTTGTCTGAATGCGTCCCCTGGATGTGGGGACAACTCACCACCACGGGACAACGAAGTGGGGAGGAGATAACATATGAGCGGGGAGGGAATAACATCTGCACCAATTTATTACACATAAAAATATATCTCATTTTGCAAGATGTTATGATTTGAATGTAAGGGATAAAAATAATATAAATAAGTGACTTTTTAAATATTAAATCTACTCAAATATAAAATTTACTCAAAGGTTCTGTGTTTCTTTGCAGCATCACACACTGTGCCCGATCAATAGAAACCAATCTAAACTCCTGTTAGAAGAGAAGCTTGCAAGAGGTTATGAGTTTGGATACATACTGAAAACGATTTTCAAAGATAAAGAGTTTTTAAAAGTGCAATGCGGTTTAATTAATTATACATTATTGTTTCCTTTCCTTTCTAAAATGAAACATTTCCTCTCTTTGGTATCCGTTTCAGTAATGAACATGAGGAATGAAAAAAATAACATACATCGATACCTTGACTATAACTTCTGTTTTAACAATGTTGTGACCCAGTGACAGCAAACAGCTGCTCATGTGTATTGTTTGCATTTAATGTCTGAATTTTAAATCTAGTTGAAAGAGAACAAAGAGAGCAAAAAATAAAACAAATCTTGGCTTGATCATTAAATATTTCACTGGATTGCTTGGGGATATGTGTATTTTTCTTATGATTTTGCCAAATGCCTTCTTGGATTTGAGTTCTGATGTGCCTAGAGATGGGACGAAGGGAATCATCTCAAGGCTTGGCCCTGGATTGTGGTAATCTTCATAGACCTTGTCAAAATCAAAGAATGAAGGATCAACTCACAGATCTAAGAACTGAATTGATTTTGAATTCTGAATAGAATTCCCCCACCCTTGATGCAGAGGATGGTCTAGATGAATCTCTGGCACTCAGGCCCCAAATGACTTTAGTGGCCTGGAATTCTAGCTGGATCTGGTCTGATAGTTGTGACTCCATGTTCCATAACCTCTCAACCTTAAATATGGTTTCCCATAAATTGTCTGGAGGATCCCAGATCTGATCTTTACCTTGAAAGCAGGTTTAATAGTGCCAAAAGCCAAATCTTCAGAGGATGTGGACCCAATGAGCATTAAAGCATGGGAAGACTACTTGGGAGAAATTATAAGTATCTTGCAAACTGAATTTAGCATGGGCGCCTGGATTTAATTCACACAGAGCATGTTTGATTTGTTGGCTGGTTTAACTATGAGGTTGGCATTTTAGTCAATTTTATCTGCAAGCTGTAGTTTATAGTTTAAACATGATGTGTGAATCAAGTCAGATGTGTTTCATTCTGTTAATAAGACTTACATCTGGTTTATATCATTAGTGATGTGTTCATAGTTTGATAATGAGGTCAAAGGGATAACCTAGAGCTAATGTTTACCTTGCTTTCCAACTGGATGATGCCTTCAATTATAACCTCATATTTGCTGTTGAAATTTCAGGTTAGTTTATAGAATCTGTTGCAGATTAAGTGTTGATAGTAACTTGAATAGCGGAAATAAACTGCTGCAAATTTATATGGCCTGGCCAAAATTGGTAACCATAGGTCTATATAACTGTATGTTTTATATTACTATCTTACCATGGGGAGTTGTGATGTCTCCCTTGGACGATTTCTCTGACTCTTTTTCGGAGGCCTGCTTGAGGGAGGATGAGTTTATTCCTGGCATAGGGAATAAACAGGGTTTATTCAGGAACAGGGTTAATTACTGACCCTGAACCGCCAGGAGAAAGAGAATTACAGGCTTCTGCTGAAGACAGCTTGCAGGTAAGTGAAGAGGATGGGGAAGAGTTGCCTTCCATGGTGGATCTCAGAGCACGCAGGGTAGAGAAACGGAGGTCTGCCAGATTACTCAAGAGAAGGCCCCACTCCTCTTGATGGGATGCACCAGGAAGCTATTTAGTATGGCAGGCAGAGGGAGGTGTTGCTGGCAATAACGTGTATGATTTATGGCTGTGTATTTGTTCATGCTTCCTGCTGGACTTTTGAACTTCTCCTGACCAGTGAGTTCCCGTGGAGGTATTTTTAGTTTTGCCTAGCGACTTTGAGTTGGTTTAGTGGACTTACTTGCTGGAGCAGCTTTGCATTTGTTTTATGGACTATTGGCCATTACATGGTGGACTAATCTTGGCTTGCTTGTGGATGACTTATTGTTCGATGATTGAGTGTTTTAATATTTGTAAACCACTGAGAGTTGCAGAATTGCAGCAGATTAAAAAACCCTAATGAAATATATCTGATCAACTAATTTTTGAATTATTTTATTAGTGAGGCAGATCAAATAAAGGAAGAAGAATGATAATGTTTGGCAAGAAACTATATGGAAAGAGAAGGAAGAACTTAGGGGAAAAATAAGCTCCATATGATATCAACTGCACATTAATTTTTAAACTTATTATTAAACTAGAGCTATAGAGAAAACTGATCACTTGTACCCTCTGACTTGGCCTCTACACCAGGATCTATATCCATAGGTATTACTTAAAGTTGTTGGATGTAGCATGTAAGTAACCAAATGTGCTAAATATTTTTTCCCTAACTTCATCTTTTTTATAAAATCGAGCAATAGAGAATTAATATATCCAAGATATAGAAAAGTGCTGTTCCAAAATAGTTTTCCCATTATCAAAGCAACCATCATGTTGACCCATTAAAAAAATTGATTAGCATATCTTTATTCTCTTCTCATTACAAAAGACATTTCTCCCAGCCTCCAAAGCATTTGTTTCTATTGAAAAATATTTATGAAATCATTCTGGTATATCTTGACCCATTTGTGGTGATAAATTATAGGATGTTTTCAATATTTTGAAAAAGAAAAAGATGGGGTTCCCGAAAGCCATGTTTTTTTAAGGTTGCAGGAAAGCAGGAAACAACTTTGAGAAGAAAGCAGTTATGCACACAATACACATAAGTACATACAGAAAATACATAGGTGTATTGTGATAGCTTAAACTACTGTGCATATACGTATTACGGTTGTGTTGAACATTTCGGCTCTTTGTCCTCCTGGAGAGGTTCCTGCCGCTTCCCATGCTGAGTAGATTGTATTTCTTTTATATCCCAAATGAATTTGAGAGGTATATCCTTCATTTGTGCTTGAAAAATATTGTCAAACCTTTCACTTTGCGATACTGTCATAATATTCTTCCAGTCTCCAACAGTTCCTGATGAAAAAGGAGCAGATTGAAGAATCAATTATTGGTCCTAGCCAGTAGTCTGTTCTCCTGAAAAGAGCCCCAGCATTGATGTTGAATCCTCACAGACCTGCCCACCATGAAGATCCCACCAGTGATGATCATCCTTTTGGCTCTGTGTATCTAGTACAATTCTGGAACCACTGTTCTGTCTTCCCACAAGATCCAGCTGCCACCATTATTCTCTCATAGCACATTTATTCATCACAGGAGTAAGTAAAAGAGTGAGTTTTGGACTCAGCAATAGTCACAACTGAGGTTTTTATAGTAATACCTTACTTTGGACAATTTTTTCAGCAGAAAGAGGATATACATGTAGTCCTTGAGTTACAAACACAATTGAGCCCAACTTTATGTCTTATTTTGGGGAAAACAGGGTAATAAAGGTAGGATCAAACCCTAATAAATAAAATAAATAGATAAATAGATAAATAGATAAATAAATAAATAAATAAATAAATAAATAAATAAATAAATAAATAAAAAGCTACACTTCTGAAGGAGCAGGAAATCCTCTCAAAGGGGTCGTGGGGCACAGCAGTGAAGATCCAGCTATTGCTCAAGTTGCAGGGACATCAGCTCTCTCTCTTTTCATCTCCCATTTCTCTCCCTCTTTCTTTCTCTCCTCCAACACAACCTCTCAGCCTGGTTCAGCCCCCTTTCAAAGCTACATCTCAAGATCTGGGAGATTCAGGGGAAAGCCTCATCAGAAAGAATTGGATTCTTCACTGTCCAAGTCAGAATGGCCCTGATAGGCCTAGAGAATTGAGGCCATGTCCTTTCTAGTGACCAATGGGAGTTAAACTGAACCTACCCCCAGGAATAACGTGAGTGCAGAATTCACCTCTCCTCTACAATAAACTAACATAGATTTTGCCTGCTGAAGAAGTGGAAATGTTCATTCAACACTGGAGAAGCTGAGGATGACGTAGAACTACCTCAGGTATATGCTGGGGATAAGAATTCAATGTCTTGAGGACACAAGAGAAAAAGAAGTGGTTTCTGAAGCGTTTTTGTCCCATGGTTAGATGCAAGAGAGGGAAAATACCAAAGTTTGATTTTGTTCTCTCGGTGTTACCTTTGCGTATATGGTTTACGTTTGTTTGTCCAAAACACTGTTCATATGTTTTCACATGATTTGCCCTAGGATCAGCTTTCATGTTCTTGAATGTAGACATCTCCACAACTTTATCCACTTCCTGGCTGCTCAGCTCTTTTCCAATAAATTTACATATTTTAAGTACTGTGCCTCTGAGATCCTGGAAGAAGAATTATTTGCTTTTGGAATATTTCTACAGTATACCCTTGTATACTCTTAATTTGGAGGAAGCTCCACTGAACAGAATGGAATTGATTTCCGAGTGAAAACATTATATCGAATAGCATTAAAAAGGTTTAAAAAGTGTCATTTATTTCTTTATGCAGATAAAACACTGGTGGAAATGAATTGGATGGAGATCCTGGACAATAGGCATTTCCCACTACATCTATATAAATTTCAGATGAAGCAAGTTATGTATGTATGTATGTATGTATGTATGTATGTATGTATGTATTGTAAATAATTACATGCACATACATACATGTGTTTTATATCTTACATTATTTATCTAGAAATGTTATAGTGAGCTGAACACCATATAAACCAACTAATCAACCAATTGATTAGTATACATCAATTCCCATCATGCTTTTTTCCTTTGGGAACAAGCAATGTTATGCAAAGCACACAAAAGGAATAAGGCAACCAGGAAAGAAAGAAATAGAACAATGGTTAAATCAAGCTAAATCAATACTGTGCACTATACCTTTCCAATCTTATCAGCTTCATCTAACTATCATTTTCTCTGCCTTCTTCTGCATCGATTCAGTGTTCCTTCAAATATTTGTTATGTAATTGATCCTGATTAATATGACTAAATCATTTCAACAAATGTGCTTCTCTCAAATACTCATTTGTATTTAATCCACATTCATTCAGCACTTATTGAATCTTAATGCTAACTCTTCTTGTTTCGTTACCTATTTACACCTTAAGTTGATATTTCTCCTGACCACATCTCAATTCCTTTTAACAAATTGAGCAAAGCATGCTCTTATATGAAGTCATTTTCATTGCATTCTTTGTCATGCACATACATGAAGCAAGCATGTGAAAGTGCTATGGCAGAGAGAAGCAGCTGGGTTGAATCTCCGGCATGTCAGATCTTGCAGTCGCTTCTTCCAGCCCTTGGTGCTGGGTGAGCCTTGGTCACTTGGGGAGATGCTCCACATGCTCTCCTGAGACAATGGCCCAGCCCCGCTGCTTTTCTCCACCAGTGCTCTTGCTGGTGGCCTGCCGGAAGAGTGTCTTGTGCAGCACAGTGAAATTTAGCAGCCGTGAGCTGCCACTTAGGTCCTTTAAGTCACATCCAGAAAGCACTGCAGTGGAGAGAAGCAGCATTTAACCCGGCTGCTTCTCTCTTCTGCAGCGCTTGTCAAACCCTTAAAGAAGGATGAAAAGAGAATAGGGGTAGGAGAATGGTGTCTTCTTCCTGTATCTCCTCTTCAGGAACTTGATCTATCCAAAAGCTTTGGAACAAACCCTTTTCTTCCCTTGTCTCTTTTCTATACACTTCTTTTAGGAAAAAGAAAAAAGCCCTGTCTGAATCAGCTCTACAAACTCTGCTTAGCTGCATAAGCAGAGAGTTAGCAGGACTTTGATTTTCAAACACACTGGAATAGTTTATGTTGAATGGAAAAGAAAAACAGGCATGAACTCTTCTGACCTTAAAAATGTAAAAGTTAGTTTGTTCAGAACATTCACAAATGTTCAATCATAGATAAAAGCAAACTGTACCTGAAGCTGAATCTCTATTTGTCTAGGCCTATTCCCTGAATCCTATTGACCTTGACAAAAGAATACAGCATTTTTCGGAGTATAAGATGTACATTAGTTTTTGGGGAGGAAAACAAGCTGTTCCAGGCTGTGGTGATCGCCCAGGCCATCGCCACCTCCACACATTGTGTTTTGGGCCTCCTCCGCATGTTATGTTTTTGGCCGCCAATCCCCGCCACCTAGAACCAGCCAAAAATGTGATGCGCTGAGGTAAAAAACGGCCAAAGGGTGGGGGCCAGAGGGTGAGTGGGGCTTCAGCAACATTTGCTGTATAAGACGCACAGACATTTCCACCCACTTTTGGTGGGGGAAAGTGCATCTTATATTTGGAAGAATATGATAAGTGGGGGAAATAAGTGAATAGTCTCACCTGGATCATTTCCTCATAGCACAGGAAGAGAATATTGAATTCATTCTGATGTGTATACCAGCCTTTCACATGATCGAAGACCAGACTGCTAGGAACTGAGAATGGAAATAAGAATTGTCGTGCTTAAGTTAATTCTGATTCCTCACATGAGCTACAAGGAAAATATTTTTCTTTTAAACATTATATACACAAAGCCAATGTTAGTAATTCATAATGATTTTGAGGATCACTTCTTTCTAAACAGCATGCATTATACAATTAGAATAGGAACTCTTTGGAAATGTCTTTGGAAATGGAAAAAAAATTGCTAAGGATACCAACAATCGTTTTTGCATTTTAAGGCGTACAGGAGGCCATCAACTGTTTGTACAGGGACTGTTTGAAATTATGACATCACTGAATGAAGGGGCTTATAACTCCTGCCCGAATTTATGGCTACTGCCATGCCCCCATGATTGTGTGAACAAAATTTGAGCTCTTTGCTATCCACCTGCCTTTACAAGGGATGCTGTAGCGGCCTCCCCTCCTATATTCTTACCATACTGTCCCACTGGGTCCCTGTGGGCCTCTTTCCTACCTCCATCACTGATGAGTCAGTTGCTATTTTGGTGCTGTAGATCTCCTTCTGGAAGCAGCTACTCCACCATGTGGCCTTCCTACATAGTGAAAATACAGCCACCATATGGCTGTATTCAGGAAGTGGGCATCATGTCGGAGCAGACACTAATTCATTGCAGCAACTCACAAAATGGTCTCTGCTTCCAAGGCAGACCCAAAGGAGCCCATGGGACTGAGTGGCCTGCTCTCCTTCCCCAGCGTGATCTCTGGAGCTCCATTGGGGAACAAGAACAGGTTGTTCTACCCCTCTACAATGTTTGTCTACAATTTCCCTCGGCCTGTTTCTCTACAGTGGAGGTTGTGTTGCTCCATTCCACAAATGGCTGCAATTTTGGGAGCAGCTACCATAAATTGTGGGACCTATGGGATGCTGAGGTCTAGGAAGCAGAGCGTGGGCTGCCTCAGAGAGTGGGGCAGGCCTTGGAGGCCCGGGGCAGGCCATGAGTGGGCTGTAAAAGTGTTGCAGCACATGCCTGGGCCTGCACTAGGCTTCCCAGGGTCTCCCCCAACCCAGAGACACCCTTTGCTCTGCTTAATTGCCAGCCTGGTTACTTAACACCCGTGAAGAGCAGGGATGGGGATTGTTAGGCAAGGCAGTGAAGACAGTTACAATTAATGATAGCCCTGAGTTGAAAAATGACTCAGTTGGGATTGTTTTCCAACTCATCCAAGTCACATGTTGTCTCTGGCCAGATTCACACCATTACTGTTTAATGCAGTTCCTCTAGTGGACCCCGTTAGATCCTTATTGCTATGTTGGCTGACATGGATTTTATTTTAATAGAGAGAGGTGGAAGTTTATGAGTGTTTAATTTTTCCCCACACACAAACCAATATGAGCAACTGTGCAAAGTGAGATTTAGCCTGGAGTTTCATTGGAGAATGAGGAAACTTTGGATTCATTAAATGTAAAGTTCTCTCCTATTGCTGAAATGCTTCAAACTGTGTGTTGTTGTTGTTGTTAATAACTCCAAGGGGACACACTAGCAAACCAGCCCTTTTTGACAGTGTTGTGATAATTAAAGTTTTTATTTCCATCTTACCGTTTCCAGATAAAAATCTTTCCATGTATTCCTCCAAATTATATGAATTTTCCACTGCCCTGAATGAGTTGATAAAATGAAAATAGGACACTAAAGTGTCTTTTGGATTTCGGTATATGTAAATAACCTGCAAGAAAATATATTATATGTAATCTATAAAAATACATTCATTTTTAATAAACTGAGGATATGTTCTAAAGTACATTGAAAAATGTTCTTATAAAATTATATAAATGTTTCCCTTTTCCTGATATAAAGTATATTTCACTGACCCACATTTTATTCTCTTTTTTTTAATTTTAAAAAGCAAAACTTTATTCATTCTTAAAAACATTTAAAACATACAAAAGCTTGATTAAGTTAAAAGTTAACTTAATCAAGAAACAAATTTACATATACATATACAATAAACAATTTCAATTACTAACTAGTTTCTATTATTATATATACATATATACAAACCTACAGTGACATAATTCATTTTCTATCTATCTGACAGTGCATTTTTTAATTATATTAATTTCCTCTAAATTTCATCTCTACCCATTTGGCCTCCTCTGATTTATCCACTGGTACCATCTATTCCATATTGTAAAATATTTTGAATCCTCCTTATCCTGTAACTCCAAGGTTAATTTGTCCATTTCTGCGCATGTGTATATCTTTTGTATTAGCTCCTGATCGGTTGGCAATCTATTTGTTTTCCAAAGTTGTGCTACCGCTAATCTAGCCACCGTTATTATGTGAAGTATTAAATATTTTATATCATTCCTAATGTTCTTTTTAATCATACCTAATAAAAAAATTTCGGGTTCTAATTCAATTTCATAATCTGTTATTTCTGCTATCCATGTTTTTATCTTGTTCCAATATTTCTTAATTTCTGGGCAGAGCCACCAAGCGTGATAAAAAGTTCCCTGTGCTTTTTTACACTTCCAAGAGGTCGGATTTGCATTTGGGTACATTTTTGCTAACCTTGCGGGGGCCAGATACCATCGATACCACATTTTATAGTGATTTTCTTTGTTGGCTACCGATTTTGTCATGCTATAGTTATTCTCCCACGCTCTTTCCCATTCTTCTAGTTGTATACTGTGCCCAATGTTCCTCGCCCAGGCTATCATCTGCCCTTTAACCAATTCTTCTGCCAAATCATATTCGAGTAAATATTTATAAATTTTCAAAATTAATTTCCCTTCTTTGGATTCTAATAATTTGTCCAATCGATTTTGTTTTAAATCTATTCCTCCCTCCTCCTGATCCTTCCTATATCTTATCTTTATTTGTGAGTATGGCCACCAGTCTATTGCTATTCCTTGTTCCTTTAATTCTTCTCTGGTTTTCAGTTTCCCCTGTCTATCTAGTATTTCTCTATATCTTAATATTTTTTGTTTTGATAATATATTGGGGTGAGTTATTGCTTCTATTGTCAATAGCCAGCCGGGGATTTTCATGTGTTTGTGTTGAATTTGTTGCCATGTATTAATTAAAGATTTCCTAATAGTGTGGTTATTGAAGTGTTTATATATTTTATTCCTGGTGTTCCAAATAAAGGCATGCCATCCCTTCATCAGGTCATGTCCTTCCAAGTTTATCAACCTTTGATTA